CTGAATGATAAACATATATTACGAGCATTTCCATAAGGCTGAAAAACACTATATATATAATGTTTTAGGAAAATGATATACAGGTAACCCCCATATAACACGGTAGTTACGTTCCAAAAAATTGCCGCGTTATGCGAATCCATGTTATACGAAACAAAGAACTAGTACAAAAAGGAGGGTTAGGTTCCAAAAATTAAAAAACATGCTATTATATTTTCATAATTAAGATAAATATCTTTAATAAAATTTTCTTAATTGATACATATTAATATAAATTAAACAATGTTTTCTTCGTCATCACTAAAAACACTATTAATTAACCGAGAGCGTTTTCTTTTTGGCAAGTTATCCTTATCCTCTGAGCATTTTTCTGCATTATCTTCAGATCCATGCTTTACCTTTTGCAAAATGTATGTAATTTTAGATTGCTTGCTTCTAGTTAAAAGGTCTTTATAAATTTCCTTATATGGTGCTAAGCACTTATGGAATAAGGGAAAAACATCTGGCAACTTCAGAAGCAGAAGCGTTGAGATCTGGCAAAACTGAAACAAGTTTCGAGAAGGACCATGTGTATGGACAGAAGGCAAGAAAAGAAAATTTACATACTTAAGTACTAATAGTTCACGAAAATAATAATTTTTGTGAACTATTAGTACTTAAGTGTGTAAAAATTTATTACATTTCATGTTGTATGAGAGTTTTACCCAATTCTCAAACCGTGTTAGAGTGAATCCATGCTATAGAAGTGCCGTGTTATATGGGGGTTACCTGTATTCATATTCTGATTAACATTTTCTGATCAGTATCAGGTAATCCATTATTTAGATTCAAGATCAAACTTTATTATAAAAAGTAGATGTTACTACTACTGCATCTTTATTTAAAAAGTTTTTGAGAGTAAAAATCATCATCTCTTCATGAAATTAAAAATAAATTCAAAATACAGTAAGACCCCGCTTAACGCTGATTCGATATAATGCCATCTGCTAGAAGCCTAAAAAAAGCTCAAAATTTACGCTGATTTACTGGTAAATTATAGTGGCATTTTATTGATTTGTACATAATACGATTATTTATGAACCAATCAGAAAAAGATGGCAAAAAGGTGTACTTTCTTTAAATCTATGTTTGTTTGGTGTAATTTTTGAAAAAAATATAACATCACAGATGCCATAGGAAATATCGACTTCACTTTGCAAGAATTAACTGATAAATGCATGGACGATGCGTGGAAGAAGTTATGGCTGAAGGTATCCAAGAATTCTCAACAAGAAGAGCCTATTGCTGTATTGTTAGGTTGACCAAAGTTAACCTAATCAATATAGCAGGACTAGAAGATGTAGATGAGCAGGATATTGAGGAGTTACAGCAGGTTTCTGGTGAGCCTTACCAATGACAACCTTCAAGAACTGACAGAACATGGAATTCATGTAGAACTGGAAAATAGAGATTCTGAAAACGAAGAACCCAAAAAATTTCTCTACAGATTTCCTTAGTAAAAGTTTGGTAAGATAACCGAAATCATTGATCAAATTGTAGCGAATGATCCAGATTTTGAAAGGAGTGCAAAAGCAAAATGAGGTGTTTTGGATGTGATCTTCTGCTATCAACATTTGCTTAAGGAAAGAAAAAGCGACAAATGAAACTTCATGACTTTACTGCAAAAAAAAAACAAGATTTTCAGAAAAGTCAGGACCTTCATCAGAAAAAATGAACTTTACATTTCTGTGTGCATATGTTTGTGTGTTATNTTTAAAGGTATCAGTATGAAATTAGTAGTATTATTTAAGTGCAATTTTTTCGAAGCGGTGCAAATCTTTTTGTTTTATTATTACCTCAAGCTTATACGAATTAATTCCTGGTATCATTTCATAATAACTTTGCAGAACTTGTAATGTTTTTGCTGAAGTTTTGTTGTCTGACCATATTCCTTGATCTACTGTAACATAAACTGCTCCACTTGCAATTCCTAATTTCAGTATATTCCTAATTTTAAAAAAATGTTTTTTCAATTATATCATTATAAAATTAATTTTTAAACTAACTATTTTAATTATTAAAAAAAATTAATTAATATTAAAATAATTAAAATCGAAATAAAATAAATTTAAAAACTAATAATAAAGTAAACAATTTTGTAATGTACAAATAATTCTTAATAAAAAAAATAGTACAAAGTCAACATCATTTTTCATAAAATTAACAATAATATAAATCTGAAACATATTATATTACTTTCCTGAATATCAAAAACAGTTATAAAACTTGGCATTATTATAAATGAATAAATCCTGCTAATTTCAGGAAGCCAACTTTTTATTAATAATAATATTGCCACTCCTTGTCTACATGAATTTTAGATGCAGACACAAATGTATTATGGAATAAACGTCCATTAGTTAAAGAATAGGATGATTATACACCAATGAGAATTTTACATATCTATGTTTTAGGGCAACATTGTACTATTATTAATGTACAGGATTCATATGAAATTGGGAAAGCTTGGATATGGTTAATGAATTTCACCAATTTCTCTTCTTTCTGCAAGAAGTTAATAGCAAAATTTGCCTAATTATATTTTTACAAAATTTTTATTTTAAATGATAACAGTTTAAGCTTATCTATCAGTTAATATTCAATCCTGAGGATGACTACCCAAACAGATTAAAACATTTGATTAATAAATTTCACCAATTTCTCTTCTTTCTGCAAGAAGTTAATAGCAAAATTTGCCTAATTATATTTTTACAATATTTTTATTTTAAATGATAAACTATATGCAACATTTAGATTGCTTTACTAAATATAATGATGATGATATGAAAATGCTGTAAAAATTATTCATATTTATTTTAGTTTTAGATAACGTATCAATAAAAAATTGAGTAATACCTAAGTAATGATTTATTTATTTTATAATGTTTATTTAATTTAACATATAGCTGTTATAATATATTTTTAAGCAGATTTCCTTTATACAACAGATTACTTTAATGACCAAAATCTTTCATAAGTCTTATTATAATGTATTGCTGTATCATTGTCCTGGTCCAGAGAGACTTTTGTCCATGAATTTCCTCTTTGCAAAGCATAGCCACCACTGTAAAAGAAAAAATTCAAATCATCAATATCTTTCATGAATATTAAAATTACATTTTCAGTTTATTTAGTATTTATTAATTATTATTGAATGATTTCTAAATTAATAGTTGAACAAACAAGAATAAATTGCATTCTTAAAATAGTACTTTTAGTATATTAAGGACAAAAAAATAATTATTACAATAAATAAAAGTTACATTAAACTAGCAACATAAAGTTTAGACCTAAATGTGAACATCAAACTATAAATGATAAACTGTATTCTTTAAAGATGCGATGAAAAAAGCAAAAGTCATGTTGAGTGGTTAGTTAAGTAAGAAAACTTGAACTAAAATTTAAATAATGAATTATGTAAGTATTTGAGAGTTTTTCATCTATGATTTTTATTCTTTTGCTACTTACTATTTACAGAGCAAACAATTCAAAACTCGTAATTGTTACACAGTTATAAAATTAAAAATATAATACAATAATTATATTTTCATAAAAACTTCATATTAAATTTCAGTTGAGCATAGTAATGGCTTGAGTNAAAAAACAAAAAAAAAAACAAGATTTTCAGAAAAGTCAGGACCTTCATCAGAAAAAATGAACTTTACATTTCTGTGTGCATATGTTTGTGTGTTATTTAACATATATTATTATACAAATTAATATAAAAATAACTTAAAGTAAAATTTGTTGATTTTTGGTCATGTGTTCCCCTATCCCTATTTACTCTATATTAAAATAACTTTAACGCAGTTTTGCTTAGCACTTTGTTGTCTAGGAACACATCCCCCGCATTACTGTAGAGTACTTTTAATAGTTTCTCTAGATACAGTATATGTAAAATAATCTTTAAAACAATTTATTTTTATAATAAATTTACTTGCAATCTTTTACTTGTATTTATGTACTGTATGCTCAAAAAGTTAATCCTTGACCAAATCTGATGATGATTGAATATTTCTGATTTCTGAAATTATTTTTGCATTGTTTAAGATTATAATTCAATTATTATAAACATTTTATTTTTACAACATAACATCTGTGTTGTATTCTATGTAATGGCTGAAGATGGATTTGATCTGAAATGCATACCATAATAAAGTGTACACAGGAAAAGAAGTGTGTTTTAATTCTGTTTAGTCCATGACCCTCCAAGTCAGTGTAATAAGCCTGAAAATTATTAGGTGATTGTATAGCCATAACAAGTAGCTTATATTTTTATAAATTTTATATTAAATTTCAGTTGAGCATAGTAATGGCTTGAGTAATTTAAATTAATTTTTCCACCCATTATATTAAACTATTTTTCTACTCAAACTTGTTTAGTCATAATCATTGTTAAAATTCAATATGTAACCAGTTCAAACATTGTTATTCTCTAAGAATTAACTTTATTTTACCCAAATTGGATAAATAAGTTGTTGATTGGCTAGTATTTTTGGAGTCTGTGGATGTGATAATTCCTAGAGAATAACGGTGTTTGAACCAGTTACATATTTATATTTTAAAAATGGAATAGAACCAAAAAGATAAATTATTAAGATTCCGTTTAATTCTTAAATGACAATGAATAAAATTAAATTTTTTCTAAATCTAAGTTATAACTAAATTATACCTAGAATTTTGGAAAAAATAGCCATTTTTTCATTCAATTGTAGTTATATTTTTATGTTTAAGTTATTGCAAATATCAAATTATGCTCTGACAAAAATATTTCTGATGTCTTACAGTTAATATAATAATAAATAATGATTTAATAAAATTATTTTTATTTTAAATGATAAACTATATGCAACATTTAGATTGCTTTACTAAATATAATGATGATGATATGAAAATGCTGTAAAAATTATTCATATTTATTTTAGTTTTAGATAACGTATCAATAAAAAATTGAGTAATACCTAAGTAATGATTTATTTATTTTATAATGTTTATTTAATTTAACATATAGCTGTTATAATATATTTTTAAGCAGATTTCCTTTATACAACAGATTACTTTAATGACCAAAATCTTTCATAAGTCTTATTATAATGTATTGCTGTATCATTGTCCTGGTCCAGAGAGACTTTTGTCCATGAATTTCCTCTTTGCAAAGCATAGCCACCACTGTAAAAGAAAAAATTCAAATCATCAATATCTTTCATGAATATTAAAATTACATTTTCAGTTTATTTAGTATTTATTAATTATTATTGAATGATTTCTAAATTAATAGTTGAACAAACAAGAATAAATTGCATTCTTAAAATAGTACTTTTAGTATATTAAGGACAAAAAAATAATTATTACAATAAATAAAAGTTACATTAAACTAGCAACATAAAGTTTAGACCTAAATGTGAACATCAAACTATAAATGATAAACTGTATTCTTTAAAGATGCGATGAAAAAAGCAAAAGTCATGTTGAGTGGTTAGTTAAGTAAGAAAACTTGAACTAAAATTTAAATAATGAATTATGTAAGTATTTGAGAGTTTTTCATCTATGATTTTTATTCTTTTGCTACTTACTATTTACAGAGCAAACAATTCAAAACTCGTAATTGTTACACAGTTATAAAATTAAAAATATAATACAATAATTATATTTTCATAAAAACTTCATATTAAATTTCAGTTGAACATAATAGTGGTTTAAATCGGAGGTCTCAAACCTTTTTCTGAGAAGGGCCATGTGAGCTGTAAAACTGAAGTCTGAGGGCAATACAGTAGAGCGTCGATTTTCCGAAAGTCAATCATCCGAAAGAATTCCAGTCGGCAAATTTAAATTTTCGCCAGTGCTGTGGCGCTTCAATCTTTGGCTATGTCTTGGGCTACTCAAATATTTTACATTTTTGATACTAAATTAACATCTGAAGTATAATTTTTTATTATTTTTATATTTCTCAATATATTTATTTTGTTTGTACAAAACAAAAAAAATAATTTTTAATGATACAATAGTCTTCGTTAGGCTTAACATCAACGAAAATTCAACGCGAAGCGACACGCAACGGAGAAAAATTTCGACATTGGATACGTTAAACTATTTTTTCGTACGTAAATCAGTTATCCGAAATATCAGTTATCCGGACAACCGCAGTCCCCAATTGATTCGGAAAATCGACGCTCTACTGTATATAAAAGATATAATCAAAGATTTTTTTATAAATAACATCAGACAAAGATTAATGTGAAATTTGCAACTGCTCTTTTAAAGGATGTCATTAAATTGGAGATAAATTTTGTGCACCAATATTAAGATTTGTAGATATTCATTAGATGATACTATTTTGATTTTATATATTTCATTTTCAAAAAAGCTTATTTGCAAAGGTACAAAGAAGCAAAAATTGAAAATATCCTGTGCAAACTCCTTAAGGCTTTTGAATTTATCTTCTGTCAGAGATTTGTAGAAATTTAACAAACTCTCTTATTTAAATACATTTTTATAAAACCCTTTTGTAGCAAAGTCTATTAATTCTAGTTGATATTTCAAAAGTTTACATGCTTTGAGCTAGTTAAAATGTTGATGACAAAACATGTTGGTTGAATTAAGCTACACAGGCTGCATAAATATACTTCTGGGACCATATTTGACCTGCAAGTCATAGGTTGGAGACTTCAGAACTTAAATGATTTAGACTAATTTTTCGTCCTATTATATTAAATTATTTTCTAGTCTTAATCTTAATTATTATTAAGATTCATTTTAATTCTTAAATGATGGTAATTAATAAAATTAATATTTTCTAAACTGAAATCATAATTAAAAATTAAAGAACCAATAGTTTGAATTCTCTTAAGTAACCACTATACACATTACCTTGCTTGGTTTTCCTGTTTCAGAATCAAATGCTCTATCACATAATCTTAATCCGCATTCCTGCCTCAATTGTTGTAAATATTGGCGCATAACATCTATTTATAAATCAAACATTTTAGATGAATAATATATCAATTTAAATATTAATCAGAGTAATATAAATTATGAGAAAAAAGAAACAATAAGATTTCAAATATAATATTGTAAAGTTTTCTATTACTATAATCAAATTTATGCATAATTTTTCTGCATTTTACTGAATTTTTAAAATTCTACTTTCAATTTTTGTTTAGTTTATTGAATGAAATATGTATTTTTTCATTTTTGGCTCTTTGTCCTGTGGGCCTTTAAGAAGGCACGCCCATTGAGGGTTCAGCCAGACTCATAATGGGAAGAGCTGGGTGGTGAGAAACGAGGTCCTAAACATATCTGGAACAGACTGCCTGTGAAAAATTCCTGGGATGTTTTGACTGTCCAGATTTAATCTTGGATCCCCAGAGTGTTAGGGTGACACCTTCTTAACCATCTTGGCCATCCAGATGTTAAATGGAATAGTTCCACAGTTATGAAACTACAGAATTGTGAGAATATTTCATTTTACATTTTCCTAAAATTTCAATGTAAAGGCATATTTTATAATAAAACTAAATATTTTTTATATTGAAGATAGGATATTAATTAAATACTACTAACAAGGGAGATTTTACCACGTCAGTCTTAATTCTAATAAAATATATATAATTCGATAGAGGGAGAAATCTATATTTTTTTCTTTTATCTGTCAGGTCAGCCATTTGTGAGAAATAGAGTTCTAAAATGTTCTAATGTACTTCATAAAGAAATATAGCACTGGTGGTGTTGTGGTCTAGATATTTATTTCTTTAGGCAGTTCAAGATTATAACAAGAATACAGAAAATGATCAGAGAGGAATTTGATGATGCAACCATTTTAAAATTAAATAACAGAAAATTTACTTTAAATTTAAAAATAGTTGCACCATCAAATTCTATTCTGATCACTTCTTGTATTCTTCTTGTTATAATCTTGAAATGCCAATAGAAATAAGCATTTACGCCACTGTGTCACCAGTGCTATATTTCTATGTGAATTACATTAGAACATTTTAGAACTCTGTTTCTCGCAAATGGCTGACCTGACAGATAGAGGAAGATACTAAATGCAGAACCTGTTACCGGTGTAATTTTGCATGAAAAAATCTTCCTTTCACAAACGTTTTCGAGCTGCCCAGATAGCTCCTTTTTCATGCAAAATTACACTGGTAACAGGTTCCGCATTTAGTATTTGATCCCCGTTGTCAGAGTGAAGTTTAATTTACTTAAGATAGAGGAAGAAAAAAGGTCTGTATTTTTTCTTTTATTGAATGATATATATTTTAATAAAATGTAAACCCTCTCTTTAAAACATCCTAATTTCTCTACCTATTTTTTCAAGAAAAACTAACAGTGTAATTATTAAATTTGTGTGTATGTATATATACACAAATTTAATAATTACACTGTTGGTTTCACCAGTCTTTCTTGAAAGAATAGGTATTACAAATATATTGGGTTTCAAGATTGTTGTTTATATATACACAAACATCACAAAACCCAATATATTTGTAATAAGCCAAACAACCACCAGATTAAATCAAGCTACATTTCTGCAATTATATTTATTTAATTTCTAAATAATTTGTCACTAGAGGGTAGTGTTAGAGATCGAACTGGAGGCTTGGGTAATATAATTGGCAATGCATCCACATGGTAAGCGGGAGTTGTGGATTCAAGTTCCACTCTGGGCCAATTCTTTTCTTCCAGAATATTCTAAGTTATTTAATAAAATACCAGATTTATTCAAGCTACATTTCTGCAATTATATTTATTTAATTTCTAAATAATTTGTCACTAGAGGGTAGTGTTAGAGATCGAACTGGAGGCTTGGGTAATATAATTGGCAATGCATCCACATGGTAAGCGGGAGTTGTGGATTCAAGTTCCACTCTGGGCCAATTCTTTTCTTCCAGAATATTCTAAGTTATTTAATAAATATTAATTTAATTATAATTATTAAATTTAATAAGAGATGACATCTAACACCTCTCTCTAGTGACAAATTATATTTAATTATTTAGAAATTAATTAAATATAATTGCAGAAATGTAGCCCAATGTAATCTGGTGGTTGTTTGGCTTATTAAATGTATTTTGCCCACTGAGTAATTTTATTATTTTAGAAACATCATGAATTATTTGACTGATAAATAATTTAAATCATTACATTTACAATATAATCATTTTATCTACTGTGAAAAATAATCTTAATATACATTTATCTTATGCAAGTTTAACAGTTTTATCAAAAAACATTCAATTTTTATCAGTTTTGTTTATAAATGATTTATTTGTTAAATAAAAAAAAAATTAAATATTTCTCATTTAATTTCTACAACAACAAGTCAACCAATGCAGTTTGTCATTGGGCTAGAAGACAGCTATAATACCAAATTGTTTCATAATTTTGTGTTGTTTGTTTAAATTTCTATAATTATAAATATTTTGCCTTAACTTTCTATCAGATAAATTTTAAATATACCATATATTCTGGCATATAAGATGACTTTTTAACCCAGGAAAATCTTCTCAAAAGTTGGGGGTCATCTTATAGGGTGGATGCTGCAGTCAGCTGGGACTCCCAGGACACTCAGGGTATGAATAGAGATAGAGTGGCGCTGTGCCAAGAAAAACATGCATCTTTCACCCATCCGGTCCGCCCTTGTATGTATCCTATTACCTTACCTCTTTCTCTGCCTCTCAGATCTTGCTCCTGAGGACTGCAGTGAAGTGGTGCAGACGCACATGTGCGAGATCTGAGAGGCAGAGAAGGCAGGCTGATATAAAAATGTCCAACAGTCAAGTATATCCCAAACTCTATATTTTAACTGTAAAAGTCGGGGGTCATCTTGTATGCCCAGTCATCTTATATGCCGGAATATAAAGTAGTAATACAAAACTATATAAAAAGATTATATTTTCTTAATGATATATGTTCAGTTGTGACAAATTATTTTAGATGAAGACTAAAGCAAACATTTCTAAACACTAATTAATAAATAATATTTTAATGATATTCAAAAAAATTGTAAAATAAATCTTGTCTTCAATTATCATCATTTTCAAAACCATTGATTTGTTATTTTAAAGCATAATAATTGTAATCATAATCCTAAAAATTGAAAAAAAATTAATAAATTATTTTAATTCTTTGAGTATTAGCTGAATTGCATAAAACACTCATGACTCTTATTTATGTCATTGAATAATATAATATTGCTGAAAATACTCTGACAGTCACCTTCAAATACATTTTTAAAGAGGAAAAAACCTAATATCAGATAAAAATGATAATTTTGATTTAATTATTAGCCATTTTCACAAAGATAATGGTTGCTACCATGCTATTATGATAATTAATAAAATATAAAAAAAAAGTTATTTTCAATCATCACTCACATTTCCCAGATATTGCATCTGCAATTTTATATCCATTTCTTGAAATTCTTGTATATTTCAAATATCAAGGAAGTTGAAAATTATGGTGGAGAGTTGGTTAAATTAAATGAAAAAGTTTTTCAATACATGATGGATCTGTCTAATAGCTAGAAAAATGTTATAAATGACAATCAAAAGAGCTTTTTTTGAAATGTGAAAGTTTGTATTCTATATTATTTTTTAAAGTTCTATTTCCAGAAAATCCAACATACAAAAGAATGAATTATTAAAATATATATTATATCATAATCATATAATATATATATATCAAGCTTTTAAGTTTTCTGGATCAAAAATCTGGATCTTGCTGTTACATATTACACGATGATGATATAATAATGATTAAATAAATGAGCAATTATTTATTATGACATCATCACAATACTAGGCTGCAATTTTTAATCATATTTTTAAATTATTTCATTTAAAATATATTGCTCTGCACCTGAAATTAGTGCTTTAGTGTCTTGCCTCTGTACATCATACTTTTCCATCAGCAATGAAATCATGCCAATCACCTATTAACTGCTTTCATGGGGAAATTTTTGAACTGAAATAATGTGACTTCCAGTTTAAAACAAAAGTTTGTATACAGTTAATTGGGACCTCCTGCCCCTAATATTTCTATATCTAGTCTTGAATTTCATCTATCTAACTCCATTCTCAAGATTAAGGAAAGACAGATGTCAACAGTGGGAATTTATAGATCTACAATTTTTTCAACTTGTAGCCCAATAAAATAACAGAATTAAAATTTTATTTTATTTCAATGTGTATTATCTGAGGATGGTTCAGTTACTATTATAATTTTCTGATATAATCAATAAATTTTTAATAATTATGTATATTAAATATACTACAACTCATCATAAGTTATTTTTTGATATATTATGGAAGAAAAAGAAGTCATCACAGTATACACAGCAATTGCACTTTCTTTTGCTATGTTGTATGATTATTATTATCATCATTATTATTATTATTCTAAAATTTTTTATGATTAATCATAAATGTTTCACTAAATGTATTTCTACATTCAAACCTATGAATCATACAGANTTTCATAATTTTGTGTGTGTTGTTTAAATTTCTATAATTATAAATATTTTGCCTTAACTTTCTATCAGATAAATTTTAAATATACCATATATTCTGGCATATAAGATGACTTTTTAACCCAGGAAAATCTTCTCAAAAGTTGGGGGTCATCTTATAGGGTGGATGCTGCAGTCAGCTGGGACTCCCAGGACACTCAGGGTATGAATAGAGATAGAGTGGCGCTGTGCCCAGAAAAACATGCATCTTTCACCCATCCGGTCCGCCCTTGTATGTATCCTATTACCTTACCTCTTTCTCTGCCTCTCAGATCTTGCTCCTGAGGACTGCAGTGAAGTGGTGCAGACGCACATGTGCGAGATCTGAGAGGCAGAGAAGGCAGGCTGATATAAAAATGTCCAACAGTCAAGTATATCCCAAACTCTATATTTTAACTGTAAAAGTCGGGGGTCATCTTGTATGCCCAGTCATCTTATATGCCGGAATAT